TGTTCTGCCTATGGGTGGAAATGGAGGAGGTACTGTTTCTAGTAGGTTTAGCGATATATTTGCCATGAGGCAAACAATGCATTTGCCTTGGGTGGCACTTTCCAGGGGGCGGCAAAAAATGCCACTCCCAAATGCCCAGGCTAATGCCTTGTTAGCCACGTTTTAAGGGGGCCCAAGAGCTGGCCACTTTTGGGCCCCATCGGGGCAGACATCCATTTTTTCCCCAGGCAGGAGGCAAGGGAGCGCTGATTTGTGGGCTCTCTGTGCACACACCGCGGTGATGCTGGGAGCCAGAATATGAAATGACTCCGGCTGCGGCATCCCTCTGTGGTGCGTGAGGGAGCTGAGCAGGGAGATCACTGCTCCCTCGCTGGCAGCTAAGCACGCTGCATGTCCGCCTGCCTTCCTGCATGCCTGCCCAGCAGCCCGGCCAGGAGCCCCACTGGACCCCAGGTAAAACATCCACCCAGCTATCCCAAAGGTAGGGAGGCTGGGTGGATTTAAATTAAAATTCAAAATATAACAATAATCTGTGAGTGGGGGGGGGTGTGTCTGTGAGTGAGGTTCTGTGTTTGTCAGTGAATGTGTGTATGTCAGTGTGTGTCTGTGAGGGAGCATGTGTTTCTGAGTGATTGTGTGTGTGTCTGTGTGTGTGTCTGTGAGTGAATGTGGGTGGGTGGGTGTCTGTCAGTGAGTGTGTGTCTAAATCATTGTGTGTGTGTGTGTATGTCTGTCTGTCAGTGAGTCTGTGTGTATATCTGTCAGTGAATTTGTGTGTCTGTCATTGTGTGTCTGTGAGGGAGCCTGTGTGTCTGAGTGATTGTGTATTACTGTCAATGAGTGTGTGTCTGTCAGTGAATGTGTGTGTGTGTGTGTGTGTCAGTGAATGTGGGTGGGTCTGTCAGTGAATGTGTGTGTGTGTCTAAATGACTTTGAGTGTATGTCAGTGAGTGCCTGTGTCTCAGTGAGTGTGTGTGTGTCAGTGTGTGTCTGTTGTGATTGTGTGTCTCTGTCAGATTGTGCAAAATCAGTGAGTGTGTGTATGTCAGTGTATCTGAGAGTGTTAGACTTTAACATGAAGATGTCAATTTTAAATTAGGGGGTGCCTGACTTCTGTCATTCCTAGGGCAGCACAGATCCAAAATACACCACTGTAGTAGGTGGTGAGAACTGCATGTGTTTAAAAAAAAAAAAAAAACACTATTCAAATTTGTGAGCTTCGAAGTTGGTGTTTACTGAGTGAGTGTACTGGATCTTGTATGTTGTAATACTTGTCCTCAGCAGCACCATTATAATGTATGCATGCTCAGGTGAGTGTAGTCCTCTTGGTTTCATGTGTAAATATATTTATAAGTCCAGGCCATCTACAGTGGATTTAAAATATAAATGAAACATGTAACGGATCACCTGGCACCCCGACTGGGTACCTCCGTTGAAGGATGCTCCTAGCGCTTCCTGAGGACTCCAAGCACTGCAGCAGACACCACAACCACCGAACCGGAGAAGCATATGAATCCTCTCAAGCATATGAATGCTGTAGACAGTTGAATAGGAACCATACGAATAGGTTTACTCTCCTAGCAGTCAAACTGGAACAGCATACAATAAATCCTTCCCCCAATAATGAGACGACACTTCACTTTGAGGGTTAAACAGGAACTCCCTGTACTGTCACATACAGTCTCTTTTATTCCCAATCCACAAACATAGTACAGCCCACAGGGCGTTACAAAACAACCAATCAATCCGTACAATACACCCAGACACTCCCACACAAAATCCTCCCCTCTGCAGGTGATATGATTACTGAACACAATGGGTAATCTCATTATCACCGGCAGAGGAATACAGTTTTTACACAATATTTCTAACTTCTAAAATATACATGTCACAAACATAAAACATACATTTTCATAATCAATCCATTCAGGGGAACAACATATTAAAAAATGGCACGAATCAGACCAGGGGTTCAAAAGTTAAGGGAAAGTCCTTTGTGACTAAATGAAGCATGGCTTTCTGGCCCAAACCAGTTTCAGAGTCTTCTATCCTGGAGAGTAATTCAATTATCTCCCAGGACAGACACAAGACTCCATTAAGCACATGGTTGCAAAAAGACACAAAACACTTTAAAATACATAAAGTCACATTTACACATAACACACAGACATTTCACATATCCCCAGATAGCTGGGATCTGAGTGCACATTATTAGATGAATGGCACTCAGATCACACAAATAAGCCTTTCTGCAGGGGAAATAAACGGTTTAACCTGCAGGGCCATAGTCCAAAGGGAGCAGGCGAGCAACCAGGCTTCTCCAGTTCACAGTGGCGAGGTTGGTTTCGCCACACTTCTCCCCTTTACCAACTAGACTAACAGGGTATCTGACCTCCTGCCGGTCAGTGCCCTGGTTAGTCCAGCAACCCACCCACAAAACAGAAACAGCAGTACAGCCCACCCACAATAACTGGTTACTACACCTGGGTAGAGGAGAACTTTGTCCATGTCCAGGTGCCTCACCACGACTGTGTGGGCAACTGTTAGGCTGCCTTGGTGGGTTGCTGAGTGGGCAGAGACCAGCGGTACTCTGCCCTGATGCCAGTGCTACCACGGAAGTAGCCTGGTGGGAGCCTGGTTGTGGGAGGGAGAGACCGACTGTCTCCCCTCTGGATACACCGCTCTGTGGCTGGGGAACAGGACCGACTGTCCCTACCCCTTGTGCTGTAAGTGCAGAGACTACAGTCCCATCTGCACTGTTGGGGGGTGTAACATCTCCCCTTGCTGGGTTAGGCTGCCGCTGGAGAGAGGGTGTAACAAGCTCCTCTCTCTGAACTGTAAACTGCCGCTGGGGAGAGGGGTATCAGGCTCCTCTCCCTGACACTCTCTCTGCTGGTGGAGAGGGGGACCAGCTGTCTCCCCTTTCATTATTTTGTCCTGTGGTTGGGGTGCGAGACTGACGGTCTCTGCTCCCTGCAGGACACTCTGCCGCTGGGGAGGAAGGACGGCACCTTCAGCTCCCTGGGGTACACACTGCCGCTGGGGAGGAAGGACTGCACCTTCAGCTCCCTGGGGTACACACTGCCGCACTGCTTCAGCTCCCTGGGGGGGAGGAAGGGAGGATACACAAGGAAGGATGCACCTTCAGCTCCCTGGGATACACACTGCCGCTGGGGAGGAAGGATGGCACCTTCAGCCCCCGGGGTGCCAAGACGCTGCTGGAGAAGGACGGCACCTCAGCTCCCTGGGTACACACACTGCCGCTGGGAGAAGGCACCTTCAGCTCCCTGGGTACACACTGCCGCTGGGGAGGAAGTACTGTACCTTCAGCTCCCTGGGGTACACACTGCCGCTGGGGAGGAAGTACTGTATCTTCAGCTCCCTGGGACACACACTGCCGCTGGGGAGGAAGGACTGCACCTTCAGCTCCCTGGGATACACACTGCCGCTGGGGAGGAAGGACTGCACCTTCAGCTCCCTGGGATACACACTGCCGATGGGGAGGAAGGACTGCACCTTCAGCTCCCTGGGATACACACGTCCGCTGGGGAGGAAGGACTGCACCTTCAGATCCCTGGGACTTACTCTGCCGCTGGGGAGGAAGGACGACACCTTCAGCTCCCTGGGGTACACCTTTGAGTCCCCGTAATGCACTCTGCCACCGGATAGGGCGGCCGATACCTTTGGCTGGATCTGCCATGAACTGCATGTACTCGTCTACCTGGCTCCTTACGAGCTGCACGTATTTCTCCGGGGGGTTGGGTCCAAAGAAAGCCAGCCGCATGGTAAACTCTCTGTCATACTGCTCCTGAGTGTAGCTGGGTGCCATGCTTGCGCTGCTGAAGTTAGTTCTTTTGTAGATAGGGTCGCTGTACGGGTACTAGCGTTGCCCTCAATTTGTAAATCCATGAACTGTGTCTCCGAGCTGCTTTACCTCGCTTTACCATCCCACCGCTTGCCACCAATGTAACGGATCGCCTGGCACCCCCGACTAGGTACCTCCGTTGAAGGATGCTCCTAGCGCTTCCTGAGGACTCCAAGCACTCTGGCAGACACCACAATCACCGAACCGGAGAAACAAATAAATTCTCCCAAGCATATGAATGCTGTAGACAGTTGAATAGGAACCATACGAATAGGTTTACTCTCCTAGCAGTCAAACTGGAACAGCATACAATAAATCCTTCCCCCAATAATGAGACGACACTTCACTTTGAGGGTTAAAACAGGAACTCCCTGTACTGTCACATACAGTCTCTTTTATTCCCAATCCACAAACATAGTACAGCCCACAGGGCGTTACAAAACAACCAATCAATCCGTACAATACACCCAGACACTCCCACACAAAATCCTCCCCTCTGCAGGTGATATGATTACTGAACACAATGGGTAATCTAATTATCACCGGCAGAGGAATACAGTTTTTACACAATATTTCTAACTTCTAAGATATACATGTCACAAACATAAAACATACATTTTCATAATCAATCCATTCAGGGGAACAACATATTAAAAAATGGCACGAATCAGACCAGGGGTTCAAAAGTTAAGGGAAAGTCCTTTGTGATTAAATGAAGCATGGCTTTCTGGCCCAAACCAGTTTCAGAGTCTTCTATCCTGGAGAGTAATTCAATTATCTCCCAGGATAGACACAAGACTCCATTAAGCACATGGTTGCAAAAAGACACAAAACACTTTAAAATACATAAAGTCACATTTACACATAACACACAGACATTTCACATATCCCCAGATAGCTGGGATCTGAGTGCACATTATTAGATGAATGGCACTCAGATCACACAAATAAGCCTTTCTGCAGGGGAAATAAACGGTTTAACCTGCAGGGCCATAGTCCAAAGGGAGCAGGCGAGCAACCAGGCTTCTCCAGTTCACAGTGGCGAGGTTGGTTTCGCCACAAAACACTCACATTTAAATGAGCTATGGCCAGCTCAGGTAAAACAGGCAATCGTACAGAGTGTATAAGGTGAATGTTAAATAGATTAAAATATAAATGAAACACTCACATTTAAATGAGCTATGGCCAGCTCAGGTAAAACAGGCATACTGTTTTACCTGAGCTGGCCATAGCTCATTTAAATGTGAGTGTTTCATTTATATTTTAATCTATTTAACATTCACCTTATACACTCTGCACGATTGGTCCTCTCTTCTTGTGTCTTATCACGCCATATCACGAGATGATTTGAACTACTAGAAACATAGAAGACACTCTACCAGCGAATACAGTGACTAAGTCAATCTAACCTCAGACATTCCATTGGGACTATTTATATTTATTATTTTTTATTGTAAATTTTTTAATGTAATTTTTATATTTTTAGTATTTCTCTTATCCTCTTTTTGGCGCAGCCTTTCTTTCTTCTTGTTGCACATTTTAAACATAGATGGTGAGAGGGCTACCCTCTGTAAGGTCGCTGCCTATCTATTGTATTATTAGCGCTAACCTACCCCTTTTATCTCTTTTTTGTAATAATAGGTATTAGATTACTATAATAGGATCAAATATTACATACTCTGTTTTATTAGATTTTATCTGTTGATTATGTTAAATAAAGGATTTTTTTACTAGTCTGCCCAGAAGATTCTGTGATATTATTATTCCTGATTCATATATGGTAGATGTCTCCTGAATTATTGGCGCCCAATCGCAACTGTTGATTGGGACATGCACTATTTATCTTTTTTTTTTTTTTTTTATTCTTTGTTTGCTAAAGATAAACAAGGAGGAGTAGAATTGTCGAAGGGAGTCTCCTATATAAGGCACCAAAGCTAAATATAATGAGCCAGATTTTAATGCTCTGGTTTGCGTGAGTTGGCACTTTGGAGGAAGTTCTAATAGTGTTTTTATCTTCAGCACTATTGGGTGTTTGTTCTCTCTGAGGTTTTAAAAAGTGAACATCTAAGCTGATTGATTCATATTAAAACTGTTTGGTATTATTGTGTGAACTTTGGTGACTGGAACTTTAGATAATCCAATAAGGGTAATTTTATTTGATTGCAGTTAAAATATTGAATTTTTTGGCACTGATAATAATTGTTTACATTATATGATTGCACTTTATATATTGAAACGGCACTTTGTGTATAAAAAGAATGTTACTTTTAAGCATTCCATTGAATTTTTTTTTTATTTTTTATTTTTACATATACTATTCTCCCCCTACTTCCTTGCTATACAAATTGCACATTAAGTGCATCCAAGAAGGGAGCTATGTAAAGTGATCATAAACTTAATCCTAATGCATTATCCTCATTCCCTTATCATGTGTCTGCTAAAGATGCAAGTGCATTTGCATTGGTGACATTGAAAACTACTGCAACACTAGCATTTGGTTGACTAATGCTAATGGAAAGAGTGAGACAGTCGTGGAGATAATATTAAATGACCACTATAGTCACCCAGACCACTTAAGCTCAATGAAGTGGTCTGGGTGCCAGGTCCCCCAGGATTTAACCCTTCAGATGTAAACATAGTTTTAGAGAAACTGCTATGTTTACATTGCAGTGTTAGTCCATCCTCTAGTGGCTGTCTTCCTGAAAATTGCATTGAGCACGCAGAACGTCCATAGGAAAGCATTGAGATGCTTTCCTATGGGCATTTTTAATGCGCGCACGGCTCTGGCTGATGTCGGAGGGGGAGGAGAGGTCACCAGCACCGAGGAAGCCAAGCGCTGGATTACGGTAAGTGGCTGAAGAGGTTTTAACCACTTCAGCCCAGCGGGAGGGCGGCCCTGAAGGTAGATTTTTTTCCTGACACTATAGTGATCCTTTAACAGTAGACTAGTTTCTTGTGGTCTAGGTAGCAGATGGTGCTACAACCATCTTTTGGATGAGGTAATTCAGAAGCAGATAAGGTGGCAGCAAGGTGAAGAAAATAGTGGACTGCTGCCTCAACTCTTTGAACTCTTCTGGGTTTTGGTTGAGTTCATATTGGAGCAGACTTAAAGAGTATATCTACAGTGGTGGGGAAAAGAGCAATATCAAATTCATCACCACCAAAACCAGACATTAGGGACACTACTTTGGTTTTCTGCTGTACCTGTTCAGTAAAAATAGTTGATAGTACCAACAAACTAGACTATGCTGATCTCTCCCCTAACTGATTCTTGCTGCTAGAACTAGGTTGTAATATTGGTACATGCAACAAAACCACCAGTTTCAATGATCGTTTGCTTTGACTGTAAAATACAGAAGACACACTTGAGCTATCTGTTGTAGAAAGAGCTGTAATTGCAGTGGAAGCAGCAACATGTGTTATTGTGGAGCTGGTTATCTTCTTTTTGAGGGAAGGGGAATAGAAATCTGTCTCCTTGTAGGTGTTGGGTACTCCTTTCTACTTGGACTCCCTACCACACTGTTCTCTTTTACTTACATTAACTGCTGGTTGTTGGAATGTGAAAGAGTACAAATCTTAGTGGCTAGTTATACTAGTCCTACTGCTACAGTTACTTTCAATTTTGTTTGGAGACATCCCCAACTTACTTTACAAACACACTGCTGCTAAAATGGGCCTAGCTAACTCTACTAGTGAAGCTACTTCAGCTACTTTTAACTTTGATTCCCTCCCCCCCCCCAAAATAAAATAAAATATGTGCTGGGTGATTTGAAGCAGTAGTATGAGTGTGTGAACAGAGTGGGTAGCAGCATGTGTATTTAGTAGTGTTGGCAGCAATGTGAATAGATGTGTGTGTGTGTGTGTGTGTGTGTGTGTGTGTGTATCTTGTATTTCTGGGTTAGTTATTCTGGCCCCAGACTGCCCTTCCTCGTGACCAGTCCTCCGCCCTTTCCCTTCAGGAGATAGCCATGCACACATCAGGAAAATACCAAGGCGTGAGAACGCCTTAAACAGGAAGGCCACCATTTGACTTTGACCAGTGAATAAAGGTTGCTGCTAGTGGCACTGTCATTGGCTAGACACAGCCACACCAAGCACCTCACCAGTCTCTCACATTTGAATCAATGACAAACATTTTCCATTCCCACACAACTACAGCAATGGTACCATGACTGAATGCTTTGTTGTCTTCCTGCTTGGAAGTATATAGATTTTTTTTTTTTTTTTTTTTTTTTACAATTCCTAATTTTTCCTCCTCTATTGGTCAATTTTCACTTCATCTGTGAATTACATTAACACTTACTGGCTATCCCCTAGCCATCAATCATCTGCTTTTCCAATGCTTGATTAGACATGGCAAACTAAGCTGCTTGTTTAAAATCCTTCCTTCTTCCAAACAATATCAGCTTTTTCTTCATTCCACCCACTTTTTTTGGATGCATGGAACTCTGATTCACAAAATGAACTAAACGGCTTGTCCAGTGTCCATTTTGTTTGCCTCGTGATTCAGTCCTTTCAGTCATATTTTATGAAAAAAGGCACCTTTGAGATGATCAGAATCCACCCGGTCCCAAATATGATATGATATAACAACTGAAATATATATGGTCCAATGGTTGTATCTAACCAACTAGATTCAATAAGGCAAAATTCAGAGCAAAATATATACACATACATGAATGATAATATATAATCATTATTATTAATATACACTTTACTAAAAAGCACATCTAACTGTGTTATTCTTTATCTATTTTATTTCTCAAAAGTACCCTTGAATGTTTGTGTGGTCAAGGAAACCAGCGAAATACTTGCGGTAAGCAGTAGAAACATGTTTTGTTATTCATGTGGCTACTCATCAGCTACTTATATATCATTGTTGTAACCTATAAAATGTTTGTCTTACAGCCAGGTGCTAAATACACATACAAAGACGACCCATGTAAAATATGTAAATGTTCCGATGAAAAGAATAGTGATACTGGCCTAAATATGCTGGTGTGCTACATCATTGACTGTTTTCCTAACTGCCCAGAGGTCAGCTGCACCACTTTAATAAAAATTTTTTTTTTTTAAATGAAATTGAACTTTTAATAATGCATGTTTATTTTTCTTCAAACAGCATTATGAATACCAAACTAAACCAGGAGAATGTTGTGGTTTATGCGTGCCACAGGTTTGCAACGTAACATTGACAAATGGACAATACCATATTATTGAAGTATGTAAACAATTCATTATTTTTAATGTTACTGAAGCTTTTTTATGCAGTTATTGTTTTGCTCATTTGTAGCAATGCCCAAAACTTGCAAGCATATTAAAATATTACTTAAGATATATTTTTCAGAATAAAATATATTTTTGAGTTAATTCACTACACAACCAATTGTTACAATCTAAGAACAGAACTTGGAAGCCAAGATACTTGATGTAACCTTGCTATAGTCATAGAATGGCATCCTTGTGGACGGACTTGGGGACAAAATTCTAATGGCAACCTTGTTTGTGTGTTGGGACTCTGTATGATTCTGATAGTACTGTGATTTAAGTGAGAGCCTAAAATAAATTTATAGAATACTGTTATAATGTTATAGAGAGAGACTGGAGATATCATAAATGGATTATGGTTGGTTCTAGATTCCTGTGGTAACATGGTTTTCTTCTAATACTTTATTCTGCATTGTGTGTCTTTTAAACTACATATTTTTGTTTTATTTGATTAATTTAGGGGTAGGACAAGGATGATGTTTCACTCTAGGATTAAGATTACCTTAGAGTTTCATCAAATTTAGGGCAGTTGTGGCTGAAATTTATAGCTATGATCAGGAATTCAGCCTTTGATCTTTACCAGCACAGAAGTAAGCAGTATTAGTAGATATTACATTTGTTAGCAGTGTTATTTACTCCTGTTTTGCACAGTATCAGTAACACCATTCAATATAGTTTTTATTGTATTTTGTTACCATAGTCACCATTCCTATGGGATTTGGGACAACACACTCTAACATCTATTGCAGTTCAAGATAGAACTTTCATTTACTATTTTTGGATATACTTTTCTAGTAATTCTAATCTGTGAGGGGAAAACCCCCCAAAAACTTTTCAAATGATTTATCTACAGAAGTCAAAAATAAAGTCTACGGGATTTCTTGTTGATAAATCATTCCAAAGTTTTTCAAACAGATTGTGATAATTTATGATTCTGATCCAAACAAATTAAAATGAGGTCTTAAAAGACCACTAAAGTCAGCTATACTACTTCAT